ATAAAAGGATTTGGGGTTCAAAACGATGATTATGTGAGGATTTCATATTGGATGGGGATCTTCTCTTCGAATGTGGATACATAGATTTGGCGTATGAAACATGATGATGTTGGGGATTTGAGATTGGATAGGGTGCTAAATCGAATGTGGATCAAATAATAAAAGGATTTGGGTTTCGAAACGATGATTTTGTTGGAGATTTCAGATTTGATAGGCAGCTTATGATCGAACTTCGAACTTAGAGTTAGAGGGGACCCTCCAAGGCGAATGAGGGATCGTAGAAGGGAGACTGGAAATTGGTTAGGGCGGCGGGTCGTATCCATAGGGTTTAACCTCTTAATCGCTATCATTAAACCGGGTACAGTTAGGTTGAAGTCCGTAGAAGTCACCATAAACGCTTCGTGATGCATTTGGTAATTTTCCTTGCCCCCGGTTACCCGTACCCCTGATTTTGCCCTGGGCACCGTAGAACTGCCCATATAATAATATATATATAATAATATTATATATATATATATATAATTAATCCGTATACTTATCCGATCGATCGATAATCCGATTTTCGTCGAAATACGGCCAAAATGATCGATTTTAAATCGTGAAATTTTCTAGTGGCAGTAATACGATTTTAGCCGAAACGGGATGTTACAGACAAACCCATAATCATAAACCTCAAATTGTACGTATGTCATTATTCAAATATATACATAGTTTCCCAAACTGTTGGCATTTTCTTCAAATCCGTATAAAGCCATTGAAAACAAATCAAACAGAATGGAAATAACACAAGAATTTTTATGTGTTATCCCTGAGTATCATGATTATTCCAGTGGCTACATTTTCTTTTCTTAGAGGAGGTGTTGTCATGTGGGCATTCAAGAAGTAGCAAGTGGCCACTCTATCAACCATTGAAGCATAATTCATAGCTCCATCCTACTAGTGCAACTCATTGTGTGTGGCTTAGAGGATTGTAGAGGAGATAGGTTGAAAGAAAAGTGTGAATGAAGGAATAATTATTGTTAGTATTATTATGTGTGACAATTGCTCGACAATCAATCTATTCAAGAATCCAGTTTTCCATGGCAGAAGCAAGCACATATATGTGAGATTTCATTTTCTCAGTGATCTTGCAAAGGATGGGATTGTCGAACTGAAATATTGTGGAAGAACTCATGACCAAGCTGCTGATATTATGACTAAAGATCTAAAGCTAAAGACATTTATGAGATTGAGAAGTAAGTTGGGAGTCTATGATATTTTTGAGGTTGTAGGGAAGTGAGCTTGAAGGTGGTTTGAAATGAATGGAAGCCTAGTGTTGGATGGGCTTCAGGTTAGGGGAGGATTTGTTGGAGGTGGAATCCTTGCTACAAAATAGTTGGGTTCAAGGCACCAAGAAACCAGTTTGAATTTGAGTATGTATGTTTTAGTTGATACTACGTCGTTTGTCAAGTAAAAAATTTGGTCCTTAAGTTTTACTTTGTTACAATCGAGTCCTAAATGATGGGTTTGTTCTGTTGAGAGCTTTTGGCTCGATCAGTTAGTTGTGGTAGCTAGAAATAAGGAGTTATGGAGTTAGTGTTGCTTGTAGCAGCCGAGATTTGTGGCTCACATCAACGTACTTATGTTTGTTCCTTTGCACCAAGCTGCTGATATTATGACTAAAGATCTGAAGCTAAAGATATTTATGAGATTGAGAAGCAAGCTAGGATTCTATGATATTTCTGAGGTTGTAGGGAAGTGAGCTTGAAGGTGGTTTGAAATGAATGGAAGCTTAGTGTTGGATGGGCTTCAGGTTAGGGGAGGATTTGTTGGTGGTGGAATCCTTGCTACAAAATAGTTGGGTTCAAGGCACCAAGAAACCAGTTTGAATTTGAGTATGTATGTTTTAGTTGATACTTTGTCAAGTAAACAATTTGGTCCTTAAGTTTTAGTTTGTTACAATCTGAGTCCTAAATGATGGGTTTGTTCTGTTGAGAGCTTTTGGCTCGATCAGTTAGTTGTGGTAGCTAAAAATAAGGAGTTATGGAGTTAGTGTTGCTTGTAGCAGCCGAGATATTGCTACATATCGTGTTCTACACAGGGGACTGCAAAGAGAAGGACAAACCCATAATCATAACCTCAAATTGTACATATGTCATTATTCAAATATATACATAGTTTCCCAAACCGTTGGCATTTTCCACAAATCCGGATGAAGCCATTGAAAACAAATCAAACATAATAGAAATAACACACCAGAGTTTTTACTTGGTATTCCATGAGAAAGTTGAAACTCTCTAGAGTCAATGATATCAAGCTTAACCTTATAATACGTTCAGTCAATTTGTATATACCTAAGGGTTTGGAGTAACCCTATAATGCTACATAGCTTATGAAATCAACACTAATGATTGATTACATATTGACCGTGTTTGATATCAAAATAGCTGAGAGGGAGCAGTTATTTTGAAAATCTAACAAGTGGCGATTATCAAAATTCTGACCTCAAAATCTCTCATTTTATTAACATCTTACCAAACGAAGAATTTGGACGAAATTCGCCTGAATGAAGGACTTTTGACTGAAATCTCTCGCTCAAACAACCCAAAGTTTAGTGACTGATTTTAAAGTTTTCCGACTTATATAATTATTTATAAGGGTTAAAGACACATTTGGTCACTGAGATTACAAAATCGGGACATGTCTAGTCACTAGAAAAAGTTAATATCAAATTTGGTCACTACAATTACTAAAACTGGACACATTTAGTCACTCGCCGTTAGTCTCCGTGCAACTCCGTTAATGAAGTCCGTTAAGTGTTGACGTGGCAAACAGAATTGCCTAATCAGTCGGATAGAACCCAACAAAAATAAAACTCGACCCGCCACGTCATTATAACCTGCCACGTCATTAAAACCAACCCAACCCAACCCATGACCCAACCCCACCCAACCCTTCTTCCTCCTTCCTCCCACCTCCTTCTTTCCCCAAAACCACCGCCGTCGCCGCTCTCCTTCTTCCTCCCACCTCCTCCTGCAAACCTGTTCGACCTAACCCAGCAGAGGAGACATCCTTCACCATCCCTCACCAAATCTGTTCGTCTCCCTGCTTGGCATCTTTCTCCACTCCTCCCGACAGGCCACAGCCGTCGCTTCAAATCTTCTCCGAGATCCCGCTGCGAAATCTCTGACTAGACCGACGAATCTCTCGAACTGAATTGACGAAATGGCCAGTCAGTCTGGCTCTCAGCTCTCGCTCTTCACTCCCGACGAGGTTTGTCTTTCTGCTGGCATCCATTTCGTCCATGGCTAGGATTCGACTGGCACAGCCCTTCAATCCCTGAAATGGCCGCCGCCTCTCGATCCCCAAGCCGGCAGTTGTACGAAACGTCGAGTTTCTCCAGCTGCAAACACGCCGAAGCAATCAGCGTCAGGCCCTTAAACGACATCTCGTTTGTCGCCCTGCTCAGATTCAGGGACCTCAAGTTCCAACGAAGCGACGCCGTCGTCGAAGCGGCGCCGCGAGCCAGCAGCAGTGTCAGCATCCCGTCGTCGACCCGCGGGCAGGCGGAGAGATCCAGGGCGTCGACGTTTGGGAACCGCCGGAGTAGAGAGAAGATGAACTCGAACCGCAGGACCCGGAGAGATTTTCGGATCAGGGAATCGACCCGGAGGAACTCCTTGCACACCAGTCGCCACGATCTCCGGTCGGCGCCGTCTTCGATTCTGGAGTTCACCCTAACTAGCAAGTCCTCCATCAATACTGCCAGAATTGACATTGGAGGAAATGCCGATTTGTACCTTATTCGAATTGGACCGGAGAAATTGCAATTTGAGATTAGCAATGAGAGGGTTTATGAACTCTGGCGATGTAATTGATCGCCGGCGAAGAGGGGGGGGGGATGAGGTAGAGAGGGAGAGTGATAGAGAATTTAGGTGGGGGACGAAGAGGAAGAGGAGGTGGAGGAGGAGGTGGCGGGGGGGGTTTGGAGAGGATGCGGAAGAGGACGAGACAGATTTTAGGGATCCGACTCATTTCGGCGGCGGCGGAGACCGGCTCACCGGAGAATGGAAGCAGCAACGGCGGCAGGGGAGAGCGGCGACGACGGTGGTTTTGGGGAAAGAAGGAGGTGGGAGGTGCCGAGGTGGGAGGAAGGAGGAAGAAGGGTTGGGTGGGGTTGGGTCATGGGTTGGGTTGGGTTGGTTTTAATGACGTGGCTGGTTATAATGACGTGGCGGGTCGGGTTTTATTTTTGTTGGGTTATATCCGGCTGATTAGGCAATTCTGTTCGCCACATAAGCACTTAACGGACTTTATTAACGGAGTTGGACGGAGACGAACGGTGAGTGACTAAATGTGTCCGGTTTTAGTAATTATAGTGACCAAATTTAATATTAACTTTTTCTAGTGACTAAACATGTCCCGATTTTGTAATCTCAGTGACCAAATGTGTCTTTAACCTTTATTTATAATCCCTATTTTGGTATAACTTGGTGTGCAAGGTTAGAAAGAAACTTGGGCGCGAAGGAGTGTGTGTAGTTATTTATTTTCTAAATATTAATTTCCTCTACAGATCATAACGAAAATCCAGGACCGTTCCAAATCTTTGAAAATAAATAAAAGATCCGAAAAAGAAATCAGAAAAGGGAATAAATTAATTTAATTTGTGAATAAAACCTATTAAAAAGGCTCCAGACCACCGCTTGCTTGGCAGTATTAATAGAAAGGAAGTCCACCTTTTCATTCATCCTCAAAAAAGAAAAAAGAAAGGAAAAGTCCAATTTTCTTTTTACCTTTTCGGGTTAATAAACCCTAAACACTTCTCGAGTCTTGACCCACCACCGCCGTCTCCATCCATCATGACAACGTCGACGAAGATCCTCGGCCCTCCATCAATCGCCGCAGCGATGATGACGTCCGTTGATCAGCCCCAAACCATTGTTCCCGTTCCATCATCCGAAACTTCGATCGAATCCATCGCCGTCAAAACCCAGGCGCTGGAATTGACCGGCGAGCCGCCCATGGGTTTGACGGAACAATGCTCCGCCACCTTCCTCTCCACCGGCAACCCCTGCCTCGACTTCTTTTTCCACATCGTCCCCAACACTCCCGCCGAAAAATTGGTCGATCGGCTCAACCTGGCCTGGGCTCACGATCCCCTCACTGCGCTCAAGCTGATCTGCAATCTGCGAGGGGTCAGGGGAACCGGCAAGTCGGACAAAGAAGGGTTCTACGCGGCGGCGCTCTGGCTCTACTGCCACCACCCGAAAACACTCGCTCTCAACGCTAGGGCTTTGGCGGAATTCGGCTATTTCAAGGATTTCGTCGAGATTCTGTTCCGGATCCTCGAAGGCCTCGATGTGAGGAAGAAAGCCAAGGAGGAGAGGCAAGAGGTGCGAACGGCCAAGGCGGTGGCCAAGAGGAGGAGGAGATATCCGCACTTGTACGGCGATGATGACGACGAAAATTCGGAGGCAGGAGAAGAAGAACCAGAGGACGAGGAAGCTGATCTTCGAACCATCAAGAAGGCGAAGAAGTCGAAGAAACCCGGCGACGGAGACGAGGCCTCTGCCAAGCCGATCGACAAGGAAACGGCGAGAGCGCTGCGCAAGCAGCGAGAGATTGCTAAAGCGGCGAAGGCGTTGAAGAAGTACAATTCCGATCCCAATTACAGGCTCCTGTTCGATTCGATTGCAGATCTCTTTGCAGATTTGCTGAAATCCGATATCGCGGCCCTGAAATCGAAGGATTACTCGAAGATCACTCTGGCGGCGAAGTGGTGCCCTTCGATCGACTCCTCCTATGACAAATCCTTGCTAATCTGTGAGGCAATCGCTCGCCGGATGTTCCCCAAGGAGAGCGAGAAGGACTACGAAGCCGCGGAAGAATCCCACTACGCTTTCCGCGTGCGAGACAGGCTTCGAAAGGAAATCCTCGTCCCTCTCCGCAAAGCCCTCCAGATTCCGGAGGTTTACATGAGCGCACGAAACTGGAATTCTCTTCCTTACGGCCGAGTTCCATCGGTGGCTATGAAGAACTACAAGGATCTGTTCGTCAAGCACGACAAGGAGAGGTTCCAGGAGTATCTGGAGAAAGTGAAGGCCGGCAAGGCGAAGATCGCAGCAGGGGCGTTGCTCCCCCACGAGATCATCGCCCAGCTGAACGACGACAGCGATGGAGGGGCCGTGGCGGAGCTTCAGTGGGCGAGGGTGGTGGAGGACATGTCGAAGAAAGGCAAGCTGAGCAACTGCCTTGCCGTTTGCGATGTGTCAGGTAGCATGTCCGGGACTCCAATGGAGGTTTGCGTGGCACTTGGGCTGCTGGTTTCGGAGCTAAGCGAGGAGCCGTGGAAAGGGAAAGTTATCACTTTCAGTGAAAAACCTGAGCTCCATCTGGTGCAGGGGGAGACGCTCCAGGAGAAGACTGAATTCATCAGGAGGATGGAGTGGGGGATGAGCACCAATTTCTACAAGGTGTTCGACAAAATTCTGGATACGGCGGTTGCAAACAACCTGACGGAGGATCAGTTGATAAAGCGGGTGTTCGTGTTCAGTGACATGGAGTTCCACCAGGCATATGCGAACCCCTATCCCCACCGCCACTATGCACCATATGGCGGCCACTTCCCAATCTATGGCGGTGGTGGTGGTGGCTTCGGAGGATCTGAGGTGGAGGAGGAGGAAGTGCTGCAGCCAAGGAGTTGGGAAACGGATTATCAGGCGATACAGAGGAAGTTCGGGGAGAAGGGGTACAGCAGGGTGCCGGAGATCGTGTTCTGGAATCTGAGGGACTCTTCGGCCACACCGGTGGTGGGAACACAGAATGGGGTGGCGCTGGTGAGTGGGTTCTCGAAGAATTTGCTGACGATGTTCATGGATGGAGGTGGGATAGTGAATCCAGAGGATGTGATGGGGTTAGCCATTGCTGGGGAGGAGTACAAGAAGCTTGTGGTGTTCGACTGAAGCCTTAAAAGGATTTGTTTTGCCATTGATAAGAGAGTATTAGCGTTTTGTAGTTAGTGAGAGAGCCTGTATCATGTTTGTTTTCCGCCATTGGAGGAACTCAAACTGGGCAATGGTTCCTTAGTTTCGATGAATAGTAGTATGAATATAATGCAGAGCAAGTCCTTTTTCAGTCCCCACTGCTACTTTGTTTTTGCGCCTTTCTGTCTGTCCTTCATCTCTCGTTCCGTTCGTTACAAACTCTCCCAATGAATCAAGAATTTGCTTCATCACTAATCATATGAAATCTCCAATATGGCTAAACAAAAACGTTGTATTAGAAACATATATTTAGAGGAAACAGAGCAGGTGTTTGAGATTACCCTGCATTACTTATTTCTTTTTGTTTAAACAAAGCCTGCTACACAAAACAGAAAAGGGAAAGACAGGAAAAAACGAGCAAGGCAACAAACAAGCGGGAACTACACAAAACCTACTATTCGCACAAGACTACATCACGCTGCTGCCCTCCAGCAAAACCTCTAAACGGGCTGCGACAAATTGTTGGAATCGAACTCAGTAGACTCTGTTTAGCGCCATTCTTGATTCACCAAAGGCTGTTCGAATTGGTATTGGAGCCTGCATTTTCCAACAGCAGCAAACCCATTTGAATTCACACATGCAACACAAGTACTACTTGTCATGGTTCAAACAAGCTATGAGAGCTGCTGCAAATTCCAACAGTACACCCACTGGATCACCACAACCACATCATCATCAACAGGCATGCTACCCTTCCTCTCATCTTCTGCAGCAACAAACCGTGGCATGTGACGAATTACAAACTGCACTGAGTGGAGAGTGGCTCTTTCTGCACAGAGTTTAGCCAGGTCTCCCCAGCTGTTCTGTCGACCTTCCCTGCACTAATCAGTCATCTGCTATTAATCATTCAACTCTGCAGCAGATTACTTGAGGTGGAGATTCATTATCTTCAAAAATTGTGGAATGGTGAATAGTGACACTAATATAATAGGAAATTCAGTCCTATAATGCAACCATGATGTAAGAAATCCATGCACCCAGCCATAGTATCTTATAAAAGAGGGACCAGTGAACCTTAATTGCTAAGTCAAAACAATAGAATATAGTCCTCCAAAGTATCCACCAAAAACTAAGAGCAGCAATATGAAAGAAAAGATTTGTATACTGGAGGGGAAATGAGAGTACTATGATCAAAGAGAACGAAGGAAGAAGCTTTGTTGTGAAAAATATAAGATAACTTGTTTTGAAGAGTTTATCCATAATAACATCTCGGGTCAGCATAGCAAATCCTTAATCAAGCATTACATCAAAATATGATAGATACATACGTATATATTATACTACCGATAAGTGTAGTGAATATGAGGGCTGGCTGAGCGGCCTTGGAGTTGGGTTTCCAACTCCATTCTCGCTTCACGGGTATCGATATCAATCTGACATGAAGGCCTGCACTCAGTAGAAGTGAACATTAAATTTTGGTGGCGGGTGTCGATAAGAACCTCGTTCAAGGAAGGTGAGTTGATGATGATGTGAGCAGCAACCTCAAGGCAAAGTACGCGAGCATCGTGAGATTCACGTCCAGGCCGCCTGAATCTTGGCTCATCCAATTTTGATGTTCGATGCACCCCATACAGCTTAAGCACCTCAAGAGAGTGATGCTCCCACCATGTTGACCCAGCACTCAAGTCGCTTGGCTCCCAGGCTTTCTTCAAGTAATCTGGAATACTGAACCATATGGACAATTCCCGCAACATTGGAGCCGCTCTTAGAGGCATGGTGCACGCTAAGAAACTTGAAGAGCTAGAATACACGACCAAATCCAAGACTCTGAGGTTCTCAAATGTCAACCAATCCAATCGTCCCCGAGAAGCATTGAAGAAGTTGGACATACGGAGCTCGAGTGTGAGACGCTCTAACCGTGGTGCATACCTGCAAAATTGAGAGGGAGGCCAAGGGAGGGAGTAATCTGAGGCCTTGAGAGCACCACAAAAGGATGCCTCCAGAAGTTGAGGAAGTTGGTCCCCGAAACAGATTGTTGCATTCCCTGTGAACTTGACAGTATGAAGATTTGGAGCAGACATCAGTTCTATCCTGCGGGCAAAATATAGGCGGGTGAACTCCAAGTACTGCAGTTTCTCAACGTTGGAAACTCTAACTACTTCACCTCTAAAACAGGAATTGCGGAGAACCCAGCGTTTCAGGGAGTGGCAGTGGGAGAAAATGTAGTCCACAGTTTCTTGGGTAATTATCGACAAGCCCTCCAGCTCCAAGACCTCCAGCCGGCTGAGATCCTGTGTACCCAGAAATTCAGGTGTCAAAAGTGGCAGAGGGATGCGATGGTCTCCAGAGTAGGAGAAGCAAGACAGCAATCTCAGCTCTTTAACTCTCTTCTTCAACCCGAATTCGATCCACTTCCAGGCTTCCTCTCCCAATCCGTACAAATCGAACGCTATTCTCAAAGCATCCAGAGTTTCGGACCGATGCCAGCTCAGGGCTTGATTCACCGCATTCGCGAATCGAAGTTGGGCTTCCTTCGAAATCTCCAAAGTCGGCGTCTTTGGGATGGTGCTCCTCAGTAGGTCCAACGATTTGTCGAAATCCAGAACCCCACCGTCAATCAATCGACATATACCCCTCCAACGTTTCCCGAGGCTGCCGCATCTCGCCGTTTCATTCACCGTTCCCAACCGGGAAAGGATATCCAGAACGATCTCATCCGGCAATCTCCTGAACAGATCTTCTGAATCTGACCGCCGCGGCGGCTTAGCGATTCCGCCACTGCAGACTCCCAACGGTCCCATGAGTTTCCTTCCTTTATTCTCTGGTCTCTACAAACACAAACACAAACACAAACACAAACACAAATAGAGCTACTAACCCGCGCTCATAAATAGCAGAAAAAATCTGCAACTTTCTATTGCTCCTTTCCTTGCTCGGACTCCATCTCCGACTCGGGTTTGGTTTGGCCGTTTTTCACTTTGATTGAACGAGTCTCCTCTGAAATCTCACTGTATTGCAAAACTTGCTTACAAAATAATCGAATTTTCCCTCAATTACAACAAAACACAATCTATATATTTGCCTAAACATCAATTGATTCAATACATGAAATGATAATATACTAATTGATTCAATACATCAATTTGAATAATCACAACTTCCAAACAACCCCTTATTAGTATTTTCCACAATATACATATTTTCTATTAACCACTTAAGGCAAAAGTGATAAGAGCAAAAATCGTTGTAATCAAAAGTGATGAAGACCTGGAAAGACACGGATCACCGATTTATTCTAATCGACTATTAATACATCAAGATCAAAGAAGGAGAAATAGAACACAATCAGAAAAAATAAGACAGTCTCGCGTGTTTTCATGAGCAAATTCTTCATGTTACAGCCACTCTCGCGTGTTTTCAGGCTGTAACTATATTGAAAATTAATCTGGATAAAACGGTGCTATATACAGTGGGAGATGTTCCTGAACCCGAGTTCTTCGCTGACATAATTTGCTGCAAATGGAGCTCTAACCCTCCTAAGTATCTCGGATACCTGCTTGGGCGAAGCTGAATTGTAGAACTTTCTGGGATTCGATTGTGAATAACTATCAAAAGAGACTTCAAAGATGGAGCAACAGACATCTTTCAATTGGGGGAAGGTTGATATTGCTGAAATTTGTCCTGTCAAGCCTCATATTGTATGACTTCTCGTTGTTCAAAGCTCCTAAAGGAGTGATCTCCAATCTGGAAAGAATGCAAAGGGACTTTCTTTGGAGTGGGGTTAGGAATAAGAAAACTCCCACTTGTGGAGTGGAAGCTGTGCAAAACGCATAAAGATAAAGGAGGGTTGGGAATTGTGGATCTTGCTTCTTTCAACTGTGCGATGCTCTGCAAGTGGATCTGGAACTATGCAGTCAGCAGGGATAAATGGTGGAGATCCCTTATCGAAATTAAATACTCAAACGGAATTTCTCAATGGCAAACTGGATGCAACAGCAGGTGTCGATCTAGTTCTGTCTGAGTGAACTTTATGAGGGAATGCAGACTTTTCTGGAAGTTCGCCCATATCGATCCAGGGAATGGTGTTGACGTCTCTCTTTGGTTCGACCGGTGGAATCCAAATCTCACCATCGCTGACGCCTTACCACGAGTTGTTGTCGTTGCCTCGAATCCGGAAGCCACGATCAGCGACGTCGTGGAGCTCTCAGGTGACAATGTAGTTATTAATTTAAGTATTAATGTTGTTATGAGAAGGGGGCTGAACAAGAGAGGTTGAACTTACTTTCAATTCCTAATTCTTATGATTTTCATTCCAAAGCTAACAGTCCTTACAAAGTTGTTTGGCAGCCTAATCCGGAAACGGGCTATACAGTTCAATCTATGTACAGGGCTGTAATTGAGGAAAAGTTCTCTGGGATTCCCCATTTCCCTTCTATTTCGGTTTGGAGGAAGATTGTTCTAGGAAAGATCTGTGTGTTCGTATGGATGGTTGCGCATAAAAGGATCTTGACCCTCGATGTCTTACAAAAGCGAGGTTTGAAGTTAGCTAATCGTTGTGAGCTCTGTTGCAAGGAAGAAGAATCGGCTGGGCATATTCTGGTTGACTGCATCTTTACCAGGCATGTGTGGAACGTGATTCAGAAGGGTTGCAGGTTTAACAATCTCCATGTTGGAGCTAATCTTGAGTCAACCATAAAGGATTGGCCTGCTACTATTCCGGACAGCATTGAGGGCTGGGTGAGATACTGTGCCTTTCATGGTGTCTTTTGGTTCACTTAGTTAGAGCGCAACCAAAGGATTTTCATTAATGTCTCGTCTAGTCCGGATCGTATTGCTGTAAGAGTCATTAACAACATTACAAGGTGGATTGTAGCAGAAGGCAAAGCTGATCGCAACTCTGTTGCTACTTGGCTTCAGGCGTTCCTGTATCAGATTAGTTAGGGTCGGCGGCTTTGTAGTCTCTCTGATGCTAGTTTGGGCATGGCGCTTCTTCTGGATGTTCGATCTCTATGGACGATGTGGAGGAGCTTTGTGGCGTCCTTGTGAGTGGCTAGTCTTTCGCTTGGTTGCTTCCTTCTGGAGCAGGCATGGCTGCCTTTTTCTTTAGTTTTGCTTCGCATGTTGTGTCGGCGACGGTCTGCTTCTGCTTGTTTGGGGAGTTGGGCTGATTTTGTTCGTTTGAGCGGCTGGTTCTGCTTTCAGTTTATTGTCTTCCCCTTGTTTGGAGCAGGGGCTTTATCGCGGGTCAAGCTCTCTTTTTCTTGGTATTAGTTAGCTGCAGGTAGTGTTTTTTCTCTTCCTCTTCCTCTTCCTTTTCCTTTTCATTCGTCGCACTCCTGGTGTCCGAATTTGTAATGAACTCTTTTTGTTATTTTAATTCACTATTCGCCTTCATAAAAAAAAAAGTGATTGAACAATATTTAGAACAATAAGAGAGAACACAACAATTAAGTGATAAGTAAACTAGAAAAACTACAAAAGTAAGCAACAAACCTAGAAAATAAGATATAATACTTTGGTTTTAAGTTACAACCTTCGACAAACTTTGATGATGTTTTTATGTTGGTATTAGAGCCTACAAAAGAGATTTTCAAGAAAACAATAAAAAATAATTTTTTTACAAGCCCAAGGAATTTATTGTACAAGTAGAAAGACTAATTATAAAATTTGAAAAAAATGATGTTTTTACAAGTCCAAGGACTATTTCAGTCAACCTTAACATAATATAGTTAACTGTGAAATTAAGTGATACCAGGTGCACATAAGAAATTTCAATGATATGACTTGCATTAACTCAAAATAAGTGATATAATCGTTTCAATTCAAAAATTTATGTGACATCATAAGTACTCTATCCACAATCTCACTCAAACAATCACATAAACCAAACAACACCTAGCTTGCTACAATATGATAGTTGCAACTTGCTAACCATCCGGATTCCCGAATCACTAATAATTTAAAATTTTAAAATCATAGCTAATAACGAGTAAATCACTACGATATGATACTAATATGATAGTCTTTGTTGGCAATTGTCTACCGGTTCACTATTCTAAAAAAGGCACAACAGACTCGGCTAGCTAGCAGGCAAACAATATTCAGAAGCACCATGAAAACTCTTTATTGATAATCATGAAAACAGGATGATTTGGAAAAATTTCGAGAAAAAGGTATCTAATCGCAGACAACCAATCTCTGATACAACTCCCCCTCGATGGCCTTGTGCATTATCGAAACCGGACCAGCGATCGCACCTTCCTCCATGAACAGCTTCACCAGATTCTTCGAGTAGCCACTCACCAGCGCCACCCCACTCTGCGTCGCCTTCACCGGCGTCGCCGACGAGTCCCTCAGGTTCCAGAACACTATCTCCGGCACCCTCGAAAACCCCTTCTCCTTGAACTTCCTCTGGATCGCCTCGTAGTCCGTCTCCCATCCTTCCACCGGCCGCTGATCTTCCTCTTCCCCTTCCCCTTCTCCATCTACCCTGCCTCCACCATCTTCCTCACCGTAATTCTCATCCGAAGAATCATCGTCACCGGAATCGTCACCATACCCGTATCCATAACCACGACTGCCACAGCCGTAGCTACCATAGTGGTAATGGCCCGATGCCATATTGAACTCCATGTCGCTGAAAACAAACACCTTCCTCACCATTTGCTCCTCGCTCGCGCCGTTCTCCACCGCGGCTTCCAAGATCCTGTCGAACACCTTCTGGAAATCCGTGCTCCCTCCCCAATCCATCTTCCTTATGAACTCCGTCTTCTCCAAAAGGCTCTTCCCCTCCACCACATTCAGCCGCGGGTCTTGGTGAAACGTGATCACCTTCCCTTTCCACGGCTCCTCGCTCAGCTCCGAAATCAACAGCCCCAAAGCAACGCACACTTCCATCGGCTCCCCAAACATGCTCCCGGATACATCGCAGACGGCGATGCAATCATTCAGCTTCCCGATCTTCGCCATATCCTCCACCATTCTCGCCCATTGGAGCTCCGCCACTTTGCCTCCGTCGGCAGAGGAGGACTTCACATCTGCGATGATCTCATGGGGAAGTAACGCTCCGGCTGCAATCTTGACCTTCCCCTGCGCCGCGTCTTCCAAGTACTTGTTGAATCGCTTCCCGTCGTGCTTTACGAAATGGCCCTTGTAATTCTTCATCGCCACTGAAGGAACTCTGTCGTAAGGCAGGTTCCGCCACTGCCTGGCGCTCATGTACACCTCGGGAAGTTTAATTGCTCGCCGGAGAGGCACCAGAACCTGCTTCCTCAGCCGATCCCTCACGCGGTACGCGTAGTGCGCATCCTCGATTTTTTCGTATTCGGGATCTGATTCCTTGGGGAAAACTCTCCTGGCGATGCTCTCGCAGATCAGAGTCGCTTTGTCGTACGAAGAATCCAACGACGGGCACCATTTGGCGGCCAGGCTGATGCTGCGGAATTGGCGAGCGCTCAGATTCTCCAGGTCTTGCTTCAGAGCGTCGGCGAACATCTGCGCGATTGAATCGTGAAGCAATCGGAAATCGGAGTCGGAAAGGTACCTCAAGAACGCCTTCGTCGCCTTGGAGACCACCTTCTCCTTCCTCTTCGCTCTCGCCTCCTCCTTCGCCGCCTTCATCTTCGCTTGGTTCCGCTTGACTCGCACTCTTCTTGGAACCGTCGATTTCGTCTTCTTCGATGGCGGCGGTTGGATCACAACTCTGCCGCGTCGCCGTCGTCGTCGAACAATCCCCTTCGCCGCCGCCTTCTTCGCCAGGAAGTAAGCCTTCCTCACGTCTCCTTTCCCGTAACTCCGCTTCTTACTCTGCCACTGGCTTCGCGCTATGTCCCTCACGTCGCTGCCTTCGAGCAATCGGTAGAGAATCTCGAGCAGATCTTTGAAGTAACCGAAATCGGCGATCACTCTCGCGTTGCGAGCTAAAGTAATCGGGTGTTTCTCGTAGAGCCACAGCGCGGCGGTGTAAAACTTCTCTTTGTTGGACTTTCCAGTCCCTCTTACACCCCGCAAGTTGCAGATCAGCTTCAGCGTCGTGAGCGGATCAAAACGCCATGCCTTCCTCAGTCGTTTGACCACCCACTCCCTCGGTGTGGACGGAACTACGTGGAAGAAGAATTCGAGGCAGGGGTTGCCGGCCGACTTGTACGTGATGGAGCCGTTCTCTGTCCTTCCGAACCGTGGACGAGTTGATTTCCCGGAGCGACCGCCACAGCTTCCGCCGCGTCCGCCACCTCCGCCTCCGCCGCGTCCACCACCGCCGTTGAGGTTGAGGTTTTCGAGCTTGGATTCGACCGGGGAGGTGGTTCCATCGACGGCAGATTGTGATTTCCGGTAGGCCTCCGGTGGGCCGAGGAGAGGGACGCTTGAAGCCATTTTGTTTGGGGGGTTACAGAGAACGAGTCCCTGTTGCTGGAGATCGGCGGTTTCGAGTGACCATATATATTTTGAGGGTTACTTTGGGGCCAAGTTAGAGGGAGAGGGTTTCTAGGATCTTCTGTTCCAGCCTTCCTTCCTGGGCGTTGAGAGGGAGCCGGTTATTTAGGATATTAATTAGGAATAACTTTTTTGCTGACATTAAATTACTTGGGGAGGAAGAGTTCTAATTCTACTGAGGCTACAAGTTCGGCGTGATATCTGCTCGCAGTATCCGAGCGAATAATTTTTACCCTTTTTTACCAATTAACAGGAAAAGGTAAAATACAGAAAATCGGCCTCATAAACATAACAATAATTACTTGGGCGGCAATCTATCTCTTTACATCCCAGCTTCCTCCACCGTGCCCAGTGGTGAAGCTAGCAACATTCTTAGAGCGACCGTTCGGTATTCTTCTGGGAGATTCCATAATTGGACCAGGTATGGGTAGCAGATCAGATTAGTAACTCTATGGTCAATAACCATGAGTAACCTGTCAGTAGGGCTGGACCAGGTTCTGGGAGACTTGACCAGGAGCCACCGACCGCCCTCAGCGCCCCGGTTAGCCGTAAACCGACCGGGCGGTTTTCGGTTCAGGCACGGTTAAACCGGGGCAACCGACAGACTGGTGTACGGTTCGGTTCAATGGTCTAACCGACCGAGAACCGGCCAAAAACCGACCGCTGCTCGTCCAAAAACCGACCGCCAACCGCCAAACCGACCGGACAGCAAGGGAAAAAACCTAAAATGGCCTAAAATTAAAATCTCAAACCTACATTTTAATTCCTTTTGCACCGAAAATACATCTAAATTAGCAACTTAATGTCTCATATTCATTAATTCAACAACATAAACTCCACAAATCACAATAAGTCCTCTAGATAACAACAAATCAACAACACATCATAAACAATCTATCATCACTTATCACCAGCCTTAGAAGAACCAACATCTACATAACCCTGTGCGTTCAATACGGGAATCAAGTCATGACCATAATCGTCATATCCATCTTTCTCATACTCTTCCTCCGGTGCATCTTCTTCACCCTCCTGCTCATTCTCCACTGGAATGTTGAGGCTTGCATCTGTATTGCCAACATTGCCAGTATTCGGTGCACTTTCCATTCTAGTTTGGAAAGTGACATTAACTAAGTAAGAAAAAAAAAAGGAAAACAAAGTGTTAGTACATTCATACATTGAATTAGGTGAAAAGAAGACAAAAAACTTAACAATAAGAGAGTTTGAGAAACTCACTACTTTCCAAAGTCACATTCTCTTCATCATCTTCCTTGTCGTCAATCTCCCTGGATCCGGGATACCTTACCCAATCCTCGGCACAAATCAATGCCTCCACCATTAGGTCGCTCAAAGAGGACCTGAATGGACTAAGAATCCGCCCGCTACAACTGAATGTTGCCTCTGAGGCAACAGAAGAGATAGGAACAGCTAGGACATCCTTAGCCATCTCAGCAACAATCGGATAGATTCCAGAGTGTCGAGACCACCAATCCAAAATGTCAAACTTTGCATCATCACTCTCTTCATTGATACCATCGGTTTGACATTTCAAATAGATGTCAAGCTCAACAGAGCTACCTCCTGTTTCCAGCAGAAGTGCTTCCCTTTTTCTCTTTCTAAGCCTCTCCTCCAATATCTTAATCCGATCACCAGCACTATCAACAGAACCCTCATCAACAATGTTATCATCAGTGGTAGGCTGAGATGCTAACTCTGATCCATACTTCCTCTTATAAATCTCAAACATCTGCCGCATCTCCCTTTTAATCCTAGTCTGAATTTCCGCTCCTTTGATACTTCCATAAATCATTATCACCACTTCAGACACAAGATCAAGTTTACTTCTAGGATCAAGCACACATGCTATATAGATCAAATGATTCACCCGAGGATTCTCCTCATTCATGACAGGTGTGTCAAACCAATACTTTCGTACCTTTTCTTCAACCTTTTCTGCCATCCTTTTGAGCTCTTCACGCGGATCATTCTTCAATTCTTGAATGATGTCATAAATTGGAACAAGTTTCTTGAAGAAAAGATGGGTAGTCACGTATTTAGTTCCTATACAAATGAGAATAGAATACAGGAAATTAGACTTAAACAAATCAAAATTGTCAAATGTTCAAATTAAAATAAACAAATTGTCAAATTTCACTTACCCGAGACTAGGAGGGTAAATTCATTAAAGACCTTCAGATACTTCATCAACTTTCTAATCAGACTCCAATCATGTTCAGTTGGAAGACCACCTCTTGCGTCAATATAATCTCTGAAGGAATGATCATGTATACTTGTATACAAAGTGGCAAACAGTCCACCAAACCTCTCTGCTGCTTCTAACATGATATAGGTGGAGTTCCACCTGGTCGATACATCCAAACACACCAATTTGGTAGAATCCAACTCCAGAAATTGCATAGCAGTCTTGAACCTTGCCAACCTAGCTGGCAATGACCTCACCCACTTCACACAATCCCGAATTCTATCCACAGCTCCTCCGATTACTTTCAATCCATCCTGCACTACCAGATTAATGATGTGTGCGACACATCGAAACTGCAGAAACTTCCCATCCATCAAATCACACCCCCACGCCTTTAATTTCCTTCTCATGCAATCACTCACAATATCATTTGTAGATGCATTGTCCATGGTCATGCAAAACAAATTCTTCACCTTCCATTCTTCAAGAATTTCTGCAAGCTTCTCTGCAATATCATTTCCTGTATGACTTGTGATGGGAACAAAGGAGATCACCTTCTTCTGCAACTTCCAATCACCTCCAACAAAGTGAGCAGTCACACACACGTAATTTTTGTTGTTGTCAGAAGTCCACGTATCTGTGGTGATTGAAACTCTGCCTTTGCTCTTTGATTCAAAAAACTCTATCAAATTCATCTTTTTCTCCAAGAATATATGAAAGCAATCATCTCTTACACCTCTCCTCCCAGGTATCTTAAACAGTGGCTGAACCGTATGCATAAACTGCTTAAACCCCGTCTCTTTCCACAAAGCGAAAAGACAACTCATCCATTATAATCATCATGGCTAAGGCATATCTTGCTTTTGCTTGATCAAATTTCCATAAAGCACTTACTTGACTTCCACTACCATCTGCGGCCTGCAAGTTCAGAACAGTCTGATCCTTGGAGGCTGCAACCTTAGCCAAACATGATCTCCGATGGTTATTCATTGCAGAAGTGCCGTTCTTGGATGGATGTGCTTTGATCTTAGTATGACAATGCTTGCACTCTCCAAACGGATACTCATCCACCGCCACCTTCATAAAGTCCTTCCAGCAATCAGCTGTACCATTTGTCTATTGAAGGGATCTAGAGAAGCTTTATTTGGAGCCGGATTAACCGTTTCTGCTGAAGGAGCCTCAGCAGCAGGTGTACTTCCACTACCGGCATGGGTAGGAGTCGATGCAATTGATGTCGATGCCGACGGTTCAGCAGACTGAACAGGCTGACTCCCTGTACGTCCACCAGGACCACCACGACCCCGATTCTGAGTAAGAGGGGCTGAGGCACCCGCACCACCACGACCTTGAGGAGCCAGAGGTCTCCCACCATGAGAAGCAGTCTCAGCGGATGGTGCACCTCGTCCGCCACGTCCACCACGTGGAGCCGGAGGTCTCGCCCTACATCAACATTCAACAGTTACACAAATTTAAAATCATCAATCATTCAATCATCATCATTCATCAATCAAAATCATCATTCAATCATCATCATTCATCAATCAAAATCATCATTCATAATCATTTTACATTTCAGAAGATGTTCTACCTTGGCTGAGTTTTGCTGCAACTTAACAAAATCATCATTTTCTTGTTTATCACAAAATCATCATTCGACATTCAGCTTCATCATTTATTCATTTATCAACATTCAAAAAAAAAAATTCATCAACATTCATCAACTGATCAACATTCAAAAATAAAAAATAAATTTCTACTAAACAATAAACATACATAATTAGGAGGAGGAGCTGCTGCCTGCTTGCTGGAGTGCGACGGCCTGCTTGCTGGAGTTCTTTAGCACCCTCCTTTTACACAAAATCCGCCATGGAGAGCAGCATGGCAAGCACCCTCTTTTTACATAAACAGACCTTGTATGAATCGACTGTAGCTCCCACAAACCACAAACCAGGAAAGATGTTCTGCATAAAAATGATAGAGATGAGAATTTTGGTTCTCCCTGGACAAGAATGAGAATCAGGAACATAAGGGAAGAAGAGAAGCAGGGGAAGTCAGCATTTTTGTTTGTCTGAAGAAGTATTATTACCCGACAACTGCAGCAGGTGGAGGCGGCGAGGTGGAGGGGGAAGGGGAAGGGGAAGGTCGCTGCTGGCGATTGGAGGGTGGCGGCAGACTGGCGAGGCGATTGAAGGTTGGCGATTGGTGACTGGCGGCGATTGGAGGGTGGCGGCAGAGTGGCGAGGCTATTGGAGGCGCGGCGACTGGAGGCTCATTTTCAATGAAAACAACCATCAACTTCATTCCCAGACTACGAAAGATGAACCCAGAAGGTAATCCCACACCGTGGAAAGAGGGCTCTATACTTGGACGTCGATCCTGGTGTAACAAGGCAAACAATCCCATCGCACCACCGACAGTTCGCCGGAATTCACCCAGTCTCTTCGACGACCACCGCCAACTGCAAACCACAATCAAGACATTAACTCCCAGAATTAATGTAACCTTTCCGTTAAACAGTTACAGAGCAATAAACTCTGAAACGGTATACGCCGTAAAAGCTCTAATTGGGCTTTCAAACCGTCTTATTTATGACGGGATAGAGCTATTTAAAGCTCTGAAAAACAGAGCAACTTGTGGTCTGTGCATCAACCTCAAAGTGGTCTGCTTCAGATGCAGGAGAATTGGCCATAATAAGGAGAGATGCTCCTTCGACCTGGTCACCAGAGACGACGACTTT